CATTTCCAAATGAGAATGTGAAGAGGGTAGCCCCAACCTCCCCTGGAGCTGCTGTCCCAAAGGAGGAGGCCGGTCTGGTCCACAGCAAAACACGCCCCCGAAGACACACACACCCCCACCCAGGAACTGGGGCAGAGTCTCACTTCCTCAGGATCCCTTTCCTGAAAGAGCTTTCCACGGCCCTAATTAAACACTCAACCCAAGCCATTAACTTGATATGCGAGTTCATGGGAACGACGGAGCAGGGCCCCCAGACCACAAATCGGCATTTTGCTGCCATCGTCAAGTTTTAATCATGTCCCTCCCCCTTCCTGAGTTTTAAAATTCACATCTTTGAATATTAATATTTCTGCCTTAACAACCCTCACATTCAGCAATTTCATATTTAACGGCTTATTTAAATGGAATTAATTTGTAACCAATTGTCTTCAAATGTGCAAGGCAATTTAAGCAAATGCCAAAAGATAAGAAATATGCTTATCCCGAGTAACCAGCTGACGTAAAATACCGTCCACATTTTTCAGACAGGCTCCCCTGATCTCAATGCCTCAGGCCAGAGCTCTGGGCCGAGCCCACCTGCTTGGGAGGGAGCTCACTAAGCCTGCAGATGGGTAGGGGAAGGTTCTGGGCTCAGGACCCCTAGGCTTCCAGGCCATTTCTTTCCCATCAGAGTCAGTCTCTCTCTCTCTCTCTCTCTCTCTCTCTCTCTCTCTCTCTCTCTCTCTCTCTCTCAGCAAGCTCCTCTAGGGTCTCCCTCCTTGGATGCTAGATTGGCCAGGCCTGCCCTCACTCTATAGTCTCACACAGAGCCCTAGCTGCAGGATCCATGTGTCCCCAGGGCTCAGGGCCTTCACTGCCCTGCTATCCTCCCCCACCACCACCCCACCCTGGCCCTTCTGTCAGCAGGACAGAAAAACAACAGTACCTGTAAGGATGATGACAACGCTGGGTGTCTGATCTCACCCTCCCACCAGTGCCACATCCAGCTTGCCACTTCCCTGTGAGCTGTCCCCACTCTAGGGTCACAGCCGAGAGCCCAAATTCAGCACCAGGCCAGGGGCAAGCCCTAGGGCAAACCAAGGCCTGGATCCCCAGGGATAACACGCTACCCCCTCTGTGTCAGTCCAGGACTCTCAGGCCAAGGATGGTGTGGGGGGGTGGGGGGTGAGGGGGTGTCCATCCCACCCACCTGCCCCCTGCTCTCTCTGCCCCCCACCACTGCAAGCTCTGCTCTCTGTGGGTGCTGATCTGGGTAGGCTGAGGTAGGTCTGGGGTCAGGAGGGAGGGCCTGGCTCTCCCCAAGCCCAAACCAACCGCCCAGCAGGCTCAGCCCAAATGCAGCATGCAAATGCTGAGAAGTCGCCTCCTTTCAGGAGATGGCCAGAGGCTGGCTGCCCCACACTGGACCTGGGATGGAGACTGGCGAGGCCACTGCTCTCTAGCTAGCTCAAGGCGGACAGTGGAGAGACGAACTGAGCTACTTTGCAAGAGCAGGAGGGCAACCAGAGATGCAAGTAGGAGGAGTTTCGGAGAAGTTCCAAGTGGGCTTTCAAAAGCCCACCTCCAGGAAAGGAAGTGGTGGCTTCATTCGCGGTGAGTGGCCAGTGGCCGGAGTCCCTGAGCACTGGAAAGTGGGCCAATAGCGACATTCATCTTGCTTAGGAAACAGGCTATTAGTATCCCCAGCAAACAGCTGGAGACGCTCGGCCCCCAGTGAGCAAGGTTGGCTGAGCTGCTGTGGCCCTCGGGGACAAGGGGCTTCTCCAGCACACAGTGCAGCGGGGCGGCAGCCCAGGAATGCAGACGTGACTGTGCAGGAGTCCTGAGGACGGCGCTGGGTGGTGGCCAGAGGCAGGGACCACTGCAGGCTCCTGCCTCCACAGAGCAACTCTCAGGTTGGAGCTCCAGGAGGGGTGACCCGAGGGATGGGGTCCATAGTGGAGTGGGGGGACCAGGGGGCGCGGCAAGCATCCCAGAGACAAGGAGAAAGAGCCTGGGAGCATGGCACAGTGGCCCCTTGCTGGGCTGGGCCACCACCGCCTGGAAGGACACTATCTCTGGCCCTTGCAATAGGCCTGGGGGTCGGGTAGCAGAGGACAGGACAGACTGGGGGGCCGGTAGTGAGCTGCAGCATACGGAGGTGAATACCCCAGGTGATTGGGAGGACCCCACTTTCTGCTGTCTCTGAGGTAGTAATGGCCTGAGGGCCTCACTGACCTCTCCTGTCCAGACAGCAGAACTCCTCAAAGGCCAAACCAGGCCCGCTCCTTCCACCTGGACTGGAAGCTGAGAAAGCATTCTCTGCAGCAATACCTCCTGGGGAGGGCACACAGGGAACCCACAGCCCAGCGGCCCCCCAGCTCCCTGCTGGGACTGAGGCCTGCAGCACATTAGGGCCTGAGCAGGGTTTGCTGATGAAGCAGCAGCTCCAAGTGGCCTGCGCCCAGCAGCATCAGCCACCAGGACTCCCTGCTCTAACTCAATGTCCTCCGCTCAAGGCCCCAAGTCAATACCCCAGGTGGAGGCTCGGGGGTGGGGGTGGGAACCCCACTGAACTGAGGAGATGGACCATGGTGTAGGTCGAGGAATTCAGAAGGGCAGGAGGTGGGCAGGTGAGCATGGGCCAGGGAGGGAGACAGCTAGCATCACTCTCATTCCAGCCCCTCAGAGAAAGGGGCCCCCTGGTGGGCTGATCATGAGGCTATAGGGAGGTTGAGCTGAGAGGAACAAGGCAGGAAGCCCACCTGAGACTCAGCCTCACACCTGCTGCTGGGCGCTGCTCAGTGGGGGGGTGGGGGCGATGCACATATATGAGCTCATAATCCTGCCAGATCCCCCAATCACACGCACACCACCAGGCCTGGGCGCATCCACCATTATTTGGCACTTCCTCTGTCGTAGCTGCCTGGGTCTACCAAAGGACTCGGCCACGGTGGAGGATCCTGGCAGGGGAGGGGCTGGGTGTCCAGGTATGAGGACAGGCAGGCACCTCCCCTTGAGGACTATCAGTCCAGCCAATGTGAGCTCCCCCAGGATCCTCAGACCAGCCACCAGCCAACCTGGGGAACATCCTTCAGGGGTCATGGGTAGAAGGGGTTCAGGGGGTGGCCTCCTGGTCTGGTTGGGCCCAGCCTCTGCCCACTGCCTAGAGGGCCTAGAATGGGGAGCTTGGGGGGTTGGCCTGGGACTGAGCTGCAGAGTACAGGCAGGTAAGGTGAGTGCCTGCCTGGGGACAGGGCAGCAAGGACCAAGGGAATCTGGCTGGGGCCAGAATGAGGGTCAATCATACTGGCCAAGGTTGTGTGCGGAGGCCATGGGCTCAAACCCCAACAAAGGGTGTGCCCAGAACAAGACCACAGTGCTCAGATGGGATGCTGATGGTAAACAGCTGCCCTGCCCAGCCAGCTGGGGCACCTGACAGCCTAAGAGGGACTACAGCTTCAAAGGCAAGTGAGAGAACAGACCGCCCTCTTTAAAATAAAAGCTGAGGTGCTTCTTCCATGTAGGCTTTGTTGCTTCTAAGCTAGATGGCCCCTTGTTTAACTTCAAGTCTTTAAGAGCCTAGACCAGGGGTCCTCAAACTTTTTAAACAGGGGGCCAGTTCACTGTCCCTCAGACCCATTGGAGGGCCGGACTACAATTTAAAAAAACTATGAACAAATTCCTATGCACACTGCACATATCGTATTTTGAAGTCAAAAAAGAAATGGGGCAAAAACACCCGGTGGGCCAGATAAATGTCCTCGGTGGGCCGCATGTGGCCCCACCGGCCGTAGTTTGAGGACGCCTGCCCTAGACACCATATCTTTAGATAGCTGGGGAGGTTTAGATTGCATCGGGAAGGTGAGCATCATGGAATGCCAGTTTAATAGAACTAAGTATTCTTGCATTGAGGGAGTACTTGAGTGAAAGCCCAATGTCCATCTGGTACCCTAATACTAAGCCTATAAATATATGCACATAGATCTATTTCCCCATCCTCATATATTTACATATATACATGTCTTTAGTTAGACCTCTGTAAATGCCCTTTGCCTCTTAGCTCTTTCCTCTATTTCCTTTGACTTTCCTCTTGTCCCACTATCATGCTCAGTCTTCGTGGAAGAAGCACACCAGCCTGTGTGATCATGAGGTGCCCAAGGGATCAGTTATCAGGAATCAAAGAACAAAAAATCATATCATTGTGAATGAGGGGGAGTGCAGGGTGGGGACCCAAAGCCCATCTGTAGGCAACTGGACATCCCCTTACAGAAGGGTCGCAGGGAGGAGACGAGCCAGTCAGGGTGCAGAGTAGCAATGATGAAACATACAACTTTCCTCTAGTTCCTAAATGCTTCCTCCCCCCAACTATCATGATTCCAATTCTACGTTACAAATCTAGCTAGATCAAAGATGTACACTGGTACAGATAGGAACTGGAAACAGCGTGGATGCACCCTTCAGGACCAGTGGTGAGAGTGGCAATACCAGGAGGGTACAGGGAGTGTGGGGTAGAGAGGGGGAATCGATTATAAAGATCTACATATAATCTCCTCCCTGGAGAACGGACAACAGAAAAGTGGGTGAAGGGAGATGTCGGACAGTGTAAGATATGACAAAATAATAATTTATAAATTATCAAAGAATCATGAGGGAGGGAGGGGGAAAAATGAGGAGCCGATGCCAGGGGCTTACGTGAAGACCAAATGTTTTGAGAATGATGAGGGTAATGAATGGACAAATATGCTTTATACAATTGATGTATGTATGGATTGTGATAAGAGTTGTATGAGCCCCCAATGAAATGATTAAAAAAAATAAAAATAAAAGCTGAAACTGCTTAAAGCAACTCTTCAAACATCCCTCGAATGTCCAATGTAACCCCTTTTAGAATCGGCACGTGTGCATGCGTGCATAGACTGAAGGGGTCCTAAGGGGTAGCTGGTAGAGTGGGTGGCCAGTGGGGTGACAGGGTGGTCCAGTGAGGCCAGGAGAGGAACTCCAGGGATCCCGGTACTCACTTGCTGATGCCCTCGAAGGAGGCCTCCCTGCAGACACTGCCACTGTCTGTGTTGACACCGCGCTGCGGAGAGGGGGCGCGTGAGTCCATGGCCTGCAGCCTGCCCTCACCTGAGCAGTCCCACCCCGGCACTCAGCCCCACAGTTCCCTAACAAGCCAAGTATCCGAGCTGAGCCTGGCCAAGGGCACCATGGCAGCGCCCCTCCCTGGGCGGTCAGGCATCACTGGCACCAGGTCAGCTGCTTGGGGCCCCACGTAAAAGCCCTGCAGTCAGGGGGACATCGCCCCGCGGATCTGTCCTCCCAAGACCAAATCCCAGCTTCTCTCCCCTATGGAGGTCCTCTCTCCACCAGCACTAGACCCCATCCAGCTACCATGGAGTCATTTCTGACTTGGGTTCCCCAACCTCCACTCCCCACCCGCAGTAGTCCCTGCAAAGCTGGGATCCGTGGCATTGCCGGTGGCTGATTTTTCACAACAGACGCCCACACCTTTCTTCCAGGGTCCCTCAGGGTAGACCTGAACCGCCAACTTTCCAGTGAGCAGCCAAGCCCACTAACCAGTGGCACCACCACAAGCTAGAGCTGACGAGGGCTGTCCACTCAAGCCCTTCCGGGGGCACAAGGGAACCCCGGGACACTGCCACCGCCCTCTCCTCCCCTAGCTGGGAGGGGCTCGAGAAGGAACTCAGAGCCAGGTGGAGACAAAGACAAGGTGGTCAGAGTTCGGCGTGCCATAGAGGCGAGGTAACTTCAATCTCCTCCTCATTCCTCAAGACTCCTGTGGAGCCAGATGAAGGCCACTGAGCCTCTCTGGCCATCACTGTACAGCACAGCCATCCTCCGTAGCAAGAAGCGTCAAAACAGCCAAGTGGGAAACAGACTGGGTAAAGTGCTAAAAACCAAGAAAACTATTTCTGTAAAAAAAAAATCCATTAACGGGGGGTTGGCAAGAGAAATCCTCTATTCTCTCTCGCCCTGAAACACCCAAAATAAGAACAGGGCAGAGCGGGAAGTGGGTGAGAAGAAAAAAACAACCGTGCAGGGCAAATAAGCTTATGTCTGTGGGGTTCACTACAGCCTGAGCACCTTCATCCCTGGCACGCCCACCCATCAGGCTGCAGGGCAGAGAGGCTGGCCCTAGCTGGCCTTGCCTCACAGCAGGTGCCTCCTCGCATCTCTTTGCCACTGTTATTCACCATGGAGGAGACCAGGTTGGAAGTAGATGGACAGTCTATACCCCAGACCCCACTGGTTCAGCTTGAAACAAATCCTTCCAGCCAGGATTTGAACCCCTGGGTTGGGTGTGGGATAGGTCACAGACCACAGTGCATTCGAGGGGCACCGGGAATGAAGCTCCAGCCATGGGCATTTGCAGCCGCTCTGCCTGAGAAAGGGGCCCATGCTTCTTGGGGAGACTGTAAGCTAGTGGCTGGAGGGGAGACTGCAAATGCCACCCCCCTCTCATCCTCCCCATACCCCTCACCTCTGACCCACCAGCTACTTACCAGAGTGAGGAGGACAGAGGGGCTCCATGACGCCAGGACACTGGCAATCTGAGGGGTCAGAAGGAAAAACCTGATTCAGAGCCTCCCTAGAGAAGTCTGCTGGAGACAAAATGCAATCCTTACTTAAAGGGGGCGCAGGCTCTCGCTCACTGAGCAAGCCCTTCACCCAGGCAGAGCTGTGGCCCCATGCTGCAGACGAGGAGACTCACAAAGGTGATGGCTCAGCTGTCAAAGGACAACAGGGCCAGTGGCCCACTCTGCCATCACCTAAACTCCCAGTTCCAAGTGTCCAGCCCTCCCACCCTTTCATGACCAGCCCTTCCCATGGGCCCCACCACCCTCTCAGCCAGGGGACGGCCTCTGCCTTCACTGCCCCCTCCCCCATTCACCCCCCCAGCCCCTATGGAGTCTGCCTTCCTCAGCCCTCCAGCCAAGCCTCCTCACTCCGCCCCTCCGCCCTGGCCCAGAATGTGTGTGTTTGAGAGCCCAGAGCAGCTCACTGCTCCCTCTTCCTCTGCCTGGAGCACGCCCTCCCCTTAGCCACCTCATCTTTGAACTCAGTGACCCCCTTCTTCCATTCCCACCCCTCCCCACAGGCTCTGACGCCTGCCACCCAAATAATGTGCACCCCCCCAACCCAGGTAAGAAGCAATTTCCTCCTCTAGGGACACCCCTCCTTCAGGGGGCCCTGCTGCTCCACTCTACATTGTTACATCATCTGAGGGCTGTGCTCCCTTCCCCACAGTCTCCAGTCTCCCCTCCGAACCCTCCCTCCCCACCCCCACCCCCACCCCCACCCGAGGGAGAACTGTTTACACATACATATCCAGTAAGGTATAACTGCCAGGCACTTAGCTGCACAAATCGCAAACGTATGCTTTGATCTGTTTTGACAGATGTACATTCATTTTTTAATACTGAGATACTCCCTGAGAAAACTATAAAAAGATAAGATGCTTCATTTTTAATGGATTTGACAGTTGAGTGCAAATATAGGTAGTCTCTGTCTTAATGAAGAATGGTGGAAGTCACAAAGTATTGCTACAAAACCTTCAAGATGTGAAGCTACTGTTTCTGGACATCCCCTCAATCTGGGGCTCTACAGGTTTGGGGGTGATGGCTCCATCGCTCTGGCTGCTCCCCCAAATACTTTTGTCTTGGGTGTATTTATAGCATGTCATAATGGGAGTGTTGATGTCCTCTGGGGGCTCAGAGTGTTCCTTTTTGCTGTTGAGTTTGGGGAACAAAAAGAAGCCTGAAGGGACAAGAGAAGGGCTGTGGGGGCCTGGGTAAGGGTTCCCAGGGAAATTCTTTGGCATAATTCTCCCAGTCTTATTCTAAGACAGTTTTCGATGCCAACTCACAGTGACCCCATAGGACAGGGTAGACCTGTCCCTTTTGAGTTTCCAAGACTGTAACTGTTTACAGGAGTAGAAGGCCCAGTCTTTCTCTCTCGGGGCTACTGGTGGTTCCAAACTGCCAACCTCGTAGATCGCAGCCAAATGCATAACCTCTACACTACGAAGGCTGCTCCCGCTTCCTTCCCAATAAGCCCCCATGATCGTCTTATCCTGTGTTCTTCGAGAGAAATCCATCAAGATTACGCCTTGGAAATGCCCGTATACAGCCACCATCACCTTCTGGGCCAGCAGATCACACGGATGCCTCTGTTTTGATTGGACCTTGTTCTTCGGACGGCGTCAGTACACGCAACACATTCCCTAAAGCGGTCCTCACTGGCTTGGATCTCGCTTTCGAGTCTGATGGAAAGGTCAGGTCTGTGGGCCTTGAGCTCTGTGCTTTGGGCACGCGTGGTGCTTGGTGGGAACAAGGTCACTTCACGCTGAAACTGCCAAACCATGTGAGAGCTAGGGCGTCAATGGCCAATCTGTGGTCTTCTTCCCCCGATTTCTCAACTTCGCCCACTTTCTTTATCCATCAGGGTTGATGGTCTTCCCTCCTCCCTTGGACTCCTCCGTGTGGTCCTTCCGACCCTCCGTAAGACACGGACCGATGTCTACATGGCTATTTCCATAAACTTGTTCCTGAGTTTCAGTGATTTGGGAAGATGTCCCGCGGAACCGGAGCCAGAGCTGGAGCGGAATACCTTCGGGTGGAGGTTTCCAGTGGCGTGGCATGCTTGCTGGGCATTCGTTGGCAGTCCTAACACTGTCCAAGGAGGGCAGAGGCCATGCAGCTGAGGGCCAGAGGACCTGCCTGTGGGGCTAGCAGAGAAGAACCCGTCCTGACTGAGCAACTGCATACTGAGCATTTCTCATATGAACCGGAACCTGTTAACTTCCTGAAAAACCGTTTAATGGAGCATATTGTCCCTGAGCTCCGTGTGGCCATTACACTTGGAACACAGCGCAGAGAAAGAGTGCCGTGAGAGGGGTGATTGGTGCCAGAACAGAGTAAGAAGGGATGGAGGGTGGAGTTGTGGTGCAGTCTGGAGAGGTAAGAGGCAGTCAGATGTGGCCCCAATGCACATTATTTTAGGCGTTATGTGTTATTTGTATGAGATGCTCGGTTGGGTTTTGTTTGTTATTGCTGTTGTTATCTAAAAACACTGGAAATTTCTTCCCATATAAATTTCTGGTAATTGCTTCTTCTCTTTACACCACTTTGCTTATGAAAGTTTTCACGGAATTCTCTGCATTTGGATATTGGTGGTTGCGGGGGGGATTTGTATTCTTCAAACATGCCATTTGTAGCCATCACTACCCTGGGCACAGTACACATCAACCAGTCCTGGATCGCAGGCCCATAGCAGCACTTCACACACACCTCTCACTTGATCACCCAGGCACCTGCTGCAATTACCGGGACTCATTCTACAGATGACAAAGGCCTTTGGGTTAAGTTCACAATCACAAAACAGCAAAGGGCAGATTTGAATCTACAGCTGTATAATCATCTCTCTGGGCAGATATGCATAGTTTATTTATTCATTCCCCACTGGACATTACATTCTTCCTAATGAGTCAGGGATTGGGACGGCCAGGAGCCAGGAACTCCCTGCCGTCAAGTCAATGCCGGCTCATGGCAACCTCATAAGACAGGGCAGAACTGCCCCTGTGAGACTAACCGTGGAAACAGAAAACCTCATCTTTCTCCTTCGGAGTGGCTGTTGGTTTCAAACTGCTGGCCTTGTGCATAACCCACTAAGCTACAGGGCTCCTGTAACTTCTATACATTATAAATTATGCTAGAAGGAACAGCTTTGACTATAAGGCTTTAGTTATCGTATTGACTTCTCAAAGTAAATTCTTTAATTAAAAAAAAAAGAAGAAGCTAGGCAGATGTAAAAGGACAAACATTGTGTGATTCTACTTCTATAAAAGATGTAACACAAGCAGATGCACAGGGACCACTATTATTAGTGTTACCAGGGGCTGAGGGAAGGGGGAGTGGGGAGCCGCTGCTCCAGGTATGGAGTTTCTGTTGGAAGCAAATAACTTTCAGAAAAAGTGGTGACTACCACAGAACATGATGAATGCCACTGATGTCATGAAATTGCATCCCTAAAACCTGGCTAAAGGTTGCACTTTGTGAGACCCATTTTGTGGTCGTGGTTGCTGCTGCTGTTGCCACTGGGTGGATGTGATCTCCTGGTGACCCTGTGTACTGCTAAGCAGGACTGCTCGGTAGCATTTTCAAGCCCCTGACCTTTCGGAATGAGTTCCTAGTGGTGGTGGTGAGGGTAACACGCTAGGCTGTCAACTACAAAGTCAGCGGTTCAAATCTACCAGCAACTCCACAGGGAAAGACGAGGCCTGTCTGCTCCCGTAGACTCCAGCCTCGGCCACACAGCTTACCCTGTCCCAGAGGGCTGCGGTGGCTTGGGACGGTCCCACCGGCGGTGAGTTTGGCCCTTGTAATGGCAGATTGCCATGCTTTACTTCGGCCGGCCCTCCCTACCCAGGGACTTCGATATGCGGAGGGGCCTCTAAATGTCTGTGGAAATTCCATTCTCGTTTCAGTCTGTTTTGGGAAGCCTTCTCCTATATTCTACACCAAAATATATACTGTTAAAGAAAAGAAAAATAAACCAAGTCTGAGCGAGTGGGGCGGCTGCTGCGCCCCAAACCATGTTCCAGACAGGTTGTTGACGGTGATGACAGATGGCCCTCTGGGGTTTGCAGCAAGCCTGCCTGCGTTGTAGCCCTCTCACATCTAAACTGCTGTGGAAATGGCTGCGTCCCGCCCTGGCGGTCCCCTCCCTCCCTCCCACCCCGCCTGGAGGAGAGGAGGCTCGTTAGAGAGAGCGAGCTGCCCGCCAGGCCCTGGGTGTGCTGTTCGGGTGACGAGAAGGCTGTGCATTCATCAGCTCACAACGATGCCGTCAATTACAGCGGTGGAATCAGAGCCGAGCAGGCACTGGGGGATTGTCTAGCTGTTGTCCTTGGGAGCGAGGGGCACGGTAACAAATGCGCGGGTGGGCGCTTTCTCTTGCAGCGCGCGGCTCTGGGACGTGCTGGTTAGGAATAATGGGGGATGCGCAGATGGATGAAGCCGCAGGGAGCAGGCCGGCTTGGCTATTCCGGGCAGGGCAACATCTTTTATTGATCATGGTTGCTGAGCGCTTGAGCTCTGTGGCTGCAGCGCCGTCCTTCCCCACGGGCACCCACTTGTGTGTGGTACCCCTTAGGGCACCCTGGATTCCCCAGGCCTGGGTGTTCCCAGCGGGAATGCAGCCACAGCTCATGATGCCCACCGCACCCATCAGCCCAGGAGCTCATTCTGCTGGGGACCCATTGACTCTCACAAACCAGAACTGTTCGATGCCAGGCCTTGCTTCACACCTCGGGGAGCACTGGGGCAGTCTGCCTGTGGTGGACGGGACATGCACAGGAGGCATCATGTTCTCAATGGCGTGCTCCCCACCCTGGTCCCTCAGAGGCTACTCGTGGACTCCTGATTCACCCTCGGGACCAGGCCCCTCACAGGGCACCCACCCTGGGGGTCACAGCCCAGCCTCACCAGCGCTGTAAAGGTCAGCACTACTCTACATCACCAGGCTCAACCCAGGAAGCACCTAAGCCCTTCCCATCGCTCACTCGCTGCCACCTAGGCGACTTTGACTCGCAGTGACCAAGTGGGCAGAAGAGACCTGTCCCTGTGGGCTTCTGAGACTGTGACTCTTCACAGGAGTAGAAAGCCTCATCTTTCTCCGTCAGAGAGGCTGATGGTTTCAAACTGCTAACCTTGCAGTTAGCAGCCCAGCACATAACCCCCTGGTACTCACAGAGGGGCTCTCTTTGGCCTGCAATGCCTTAGAAATCAGAACATGTTCCTGAAGGTTAAACTCCAGGAGGCATCACAAACAACCCAGCTGGGCAGCCACTGAGCACCCAGCACCAACAACCCTTGGCTGGGGGTCCTTCACGGGGGCTGTGGGCTCCCGAGGCTTCTCTGTGTGCTCTGCCTTCTCCATAATGAAACCCAGGGCCATCCGCTGGGGTTGGGGTGAGGGAGGACACAACTAGATGACCAGGTTTGCTACATCAGACCCTAGTAGCCCTCCCAGGTCCTGGTCTAAGGAAACCCACAGGAGGGTGCCTGGCCTCAGGCAGTGTGGACGGCTGATGCTCTGGGCAAGGGCCTCTCAGGCATAGGTCCCAATTGCTGCCTTCTTTCTAAGGAGAAAAGGAACCCTGGTGGTGTAGTGGTTACATGTTGGCTTGCGATCCGCATGGTGGAGTTCGAAACCACCAGCAGCTCCACAGAAGACTGGGCTTTCTGCTCCCATAAAGTTAAAGACCCCACGGAGGGGGCACCATGAGTCAGCACTGCCTTGATGACTGTGGGTTTGGTTTGGTTTCTGGTTTCCAAGGAGACAAACTCATGGGCTTTGTATCACCTGTTGTGGCTTGTCACAGATGGTCAGTCAGGGCACTGTGGTTGGAGGGGCCTGAGGACAAAGGACAAAACTGGCCTGAAGAGCCTTCCTTTCCGTGGCATACGGAGCTTCCTGTCACCTTCCATGACCCGGTGGCCTGTTTCCCTCTAGCAACTGGGCCACCCTTCCCAGCCCTGGGGGTTTGGCCTGTGCGCTTCTTGGATTCTCCATTTGAAGGCACAGGAAGCGTAAGGCACAGGGAGCCGGTGCCATCTCCGCTGAAGTGCCCTGAATGTCTGACAGGACAAGAGCCAGGGCCAAGGACCGAGACCCTGGGTTCACAGATGCAGCCACGCTGGTGATGGTGCTGACCAAGCAGCGCTTGGGAGGCTTTGTCCTCGGGACTCTCCCAACCTCCCCTTCAAGCTGCTCCACGCACAGAGACCGGGCAGGAGCTGGCCTGGGCAGGAGCTGGCCTGCATGGCTGCAGCTCTGCGCCTTCACCAGGGGCTTTCCTGTCAGGTACTCAGGAGCTCCTCTCTTGCCCACCACTTCCCCAGGACGAGGCTCTCCTCCCTGCAAACCCTGATACACAAAACTGGGTTTTCCCCAGTTATCAAAGCAATGAAGGAGGTCCCTGTGGCCCTTTGGGTGTGAGCTGAGCTTCCTCCACGTGGTCCCCTGGGGGAACCAGCCTGTCAGGGTGCCCAGTGATAGATAAGCAGGCATCCTTGAGACCAGGAAGGACTGCAGTGACCAGAGCGAGGGGCCTCGGCCTCCCACTCTGCCACAGCCCTGCCCCCACAGAAGAGACGCTTCAGGACAGACCCAAGGCCCAGGAGCCACGGACACACCAGGCCACAAGACAAAGCTGAGTAATCAAGCTGGGAAGGGAACTAAAGTCAAGTGGCCCCCTCGACCCCACCCCGCCCACCGGCCTTCACGAGCTTTGCAGACGGCAGCACCCTCAGGCCCTGGGCCAGAATCAGACCTTCTGCCTCAGCTGCCCCGCCACCACTCAGAAAGCTAGTTAGGGTGCATGTGTCCTGCTTGCTGTTTCCAGAGAAGTGTACCCCCAAGCATGCTGGGGGAACATCTAGATAGTGGTTCCCAACCTTCCTCATGCCGCAACCCTTTCACACAGTTCCTCAAGTTGTGGTGACCCCCCAACCATAAAATTATTTTCATTGCTACTTCTTAACTGTCATTTTGCTACTGTTATGAATCAGGCGACCCCTGTGAAAGGGTCGTTCAACCCCCAGAGGGGTCGCAACCCACAGGTTGAGAACCGCTGCTCTAGAGGAAGGAAGCTCTGAGCACCCAGAGAGGAGTCAGCTGTGGCTTACTTCATCTGTGTACTGGACTTCGTCCACGGCATACTTCTCCTTGAAGTGCTCCTTGGAATGGATCCTCAAAGAGAAGCACAGGAGAGGCAGGTCAGGGATCGGCCACGGCCCAGCACAGGCCACCTTCCCGCCCACCGAGCCCAGGTCCACTCAACCACGGCTGACACAGAGTGGGTCTGCTGACACAGGTATGGCTTGGAGTCTGCAAGGTCTCTGGGCCACTGACCCCAGCCAACCTCCAGTCACCCGTTTCCTGCCTGGTTCCAGACAGGCAGCTGCAGACAAACTTCCCAGTCACCGCGGGAAGCCAGCCAGTGTGCCCCACAGCCTTTGAGGACCTGAAACGAGCCACCTCCCAGCCCCAGGCAGACACTCTTTAAAGGCACGGAGAAAGTTTAATTAACATCTTAAAGCAGTCAATATCAGTATGACTCAGTGTAATGAGACAGACTGGGGCTGACTCAGGCATCAGGAAAAAGCCGCATGTGAGAAGGCAAAGGCATGAGCCGGGGAGGCTGGGAGCCCTGTCCACCCAGCAAAGGGCTCCTGGCGCACAGCTGCACCGGACAGGGCTCCAGCCTGGATCTGGCCAGCTAGCACCCCTCCACCCCTCCCAGACCCTCCATGGCCCTGCGGGTGATGAACTTACATGAGACACTTCCTGAATCGGGGACTGCATCCCAAGTTAATGCCAGTGCTGCAGCCAGCTATGACCTGCACCATCCCGCCCCTCAGCCCACCGATAGAACCCAGACCAAACCAGACTCACAGCCATCGAGTTGATTCTGATTCATAGTGACCCCAGAGGTCAGGGTAGAACTGACCCCGGGGACTTCTGAGACTGTAATTCTACAAGCGTAGAATGCCATGTTTTCCTCCTCAGAGCAGCTGGTGGTTTTGAACTGCTGACTTTATGGTAGGCAGCCCAACTGGAAACCACTATACCCTCGTGCCTCTCCCTCCCCTCCCCCCAGCCCACAGTCCTCCTATAGTCTCACATTATTAGTGATCAGGCGTTATCACCAAAGAAACCTCAGGTGGAAACTGCAGGTGGCTTTCATAGTGTGTGCTGGGTTCCCAAGGGTGAGCAGATGACAAGGTGGGGATTTGGAGAGCAACCAGCCTGGGGAGGCCCAAGAGAAGAGGGCAGAGAAGACTTGGGGACTCGGGAATGATTTCCTTGAAGATCAGGGACCCCCGTCAGCATCCCATATGCCACTCACTCTTGTCCCTTGAGAAGCCCCACTCCTCTTTCTGAGACTCCACCAAACCAATACCCTGAACTGGCGGTGGCCTGGGACGACAGGAGCCAGGGGGCAGATGGGTGAGTCTTGGGCATCGCAGAGACACCCAGAAAGCACCTTTGAAACTGGCCTGCAGAGCAAGCAGACTAGTCTCACTACACCAAAACACCAAACCCAATGCCATCGAAGCAATTTGGACTCCTATCGACCCCATACGGGATTTCTGAAGCAGTTACTCTTTAGGGGAGCAGATAGACCAATCTTTCTCCTATGGAGCAGATGGTGGGTTTGAACTGCTGACCTTACAGTCAACAGCCCAACGTCTAACCCACAGGCTCCACCAGGGGTCCTTCTGGTCTCCCTTTGACTGCTTAAAGCTCTTTGCTTTAGCTTCGTCCTTTTTTATTTCCTCTCAAGTGGCCACTGGCTGCCAAGCTCCTACTACTAATTAAATGGGCACGAATCCACCACATACCTTTCCCTGTGGGAGACCGGACTCAAAGTAAAATGGCCAGCACAAAAGGGTGGCCTTTGCCCTGGGATAATGCTCAGACAGCGGGGAGAGCAGTGAAGAAGGATGGATGGAAACGGGAACCCAGGGAGGATGTGGGGGGCCACGATCACTATCATGACTGGTGATGGGAAATGCATGTGCCCTATAGCCTTTCACTCAAATCACAACACAAAGTTTGTAAGAAGTTAGGTGGCCAAAGTCTGGCATCTACAAGTATTTGCAAAGCATCTATTGTTGGCAAGTACTTGGCCAGCGCTCATGACTAGAGAGAGGCTTGCAGACCCTGCACAGCATCGCCCAAAGCCTGAGTTTTCCCCGCTGCCCCGCACAAGTGCACTGGCCAGAGAAGCAGCAGGTGCCTGTCAGTGCAGTGTGTGTCTAGTGCTGTCCCCACATCCTCTGACACCCCAGCTCCGGGACGGGCTGCTCCCTTAGTCATTTCAGCAGTTCGAAAGCACTGCTCCTCGGGAGAGAGACAAGGCTTTCTGCTTCCATAGAGAAACCCACAGGGGCAGTTTGTTTGTTTTTTAAATCATTTTATTAGTAACTCATACAACTCATCACAATCCATATATACATCAATTGTGTCAAGCACATGTGTACACTCATTGCCCTCATCATTCTCAAAACATTTGCTCTCCACTTAAGCCCCTGGCATCAGCTCCTCATTTTTTCTCCCTCCCTACGCGCTCCCACTTCCTTCATGAACCCTTGATAATTTATAAATGATTATTTTGTCATATCTTACACTGTCTGACATCTCCCTTCACCCACTTTTCTGTCGTCTGTCCCCCAGGGAAGAGGTCACATGTAATTGGTTCCTCCTTTCCACCCTACCCTCCCTCCACCCTCCCGGTATTGCCACTCTCGCCACTGGTCCAGAAGGGATCATCTGCCCTGGATTCCCTGTGTTTCCAATTCCTATCTGTACCAGTGTACATTTTCTGGTCTAGCCAGATTTGTAAGGTAAAATTGGGATCATGATAGTGGGGAGGAGGGAGGAAGTATTTAGGAATTAGAAAAAAGTTGTATGTTTCATCGTTGCTACACTACACCCTGACTGGCTCGTCTCCTCCCCATGACCCTTCTGTAAGGGAATGTCTAATTGCCTTCAGATGGGCTTTGGGTCTCCACTTCACACTCCCCCTTATTCACAATGATATGATTTTTGTTCTGATGATGCCTGATACCTGATCCCTTTGACATCTCGTGA